GAAGTAAGCGAAAAGGGAGAAACAAAGGTGACTCAGGGGCCCAGAATTTGAGAGAGAGTCCTGAACCCCCCAACCAGATACCACTACTTAAATGTCCAATCATCCTTTTAATGTTACTACAATGGAGACCAAGGTACTAACATGTAAGCTTTTGGAGACATCTTCAACTACATCCTAACAATAGCACATGGCACACACACACACACACACACACACATATATATATATATATATATATATATATATATATATATATATATATATTTATATTTATATTTATATATAAATGTGTGTTTGTGTATATATGAATAGATATTTTATATATTTATTATATATTATATATTTATATTTATTATATATTTATACATTATATCTAATATGAATATGTTCTAATATATTTTTATACATGAATATATTTTAATATATTGATTTGAAAGATTAAAATTTTTGATATAGTAATATGCTGTACTAATCTTGTGCTCTCAGGACAGGGCACACATATTTTGGTTAGTGAAAGGATAGATGATTTAAGGAAGTCTATTTCCCCTACACTCTGAACCTCTGACATCATCATGTGCTACACTGGAAATGGGCAGTTATGTTTTGAGATAACAGCATTTGTGTTTGTTCTTAGAAAACTTTCTTTAAATATGGTCTTTGAAATTTTATAGATGTGTGTAATGCATTCTGATTATTCTCATAGGCACCCTTTTTTATCCCCTTTCCACTCCTGCCGATGCATGCGCTCCTCCATACTAGCCCTCTTTCCATACTCGTGTCTGGTTTTGCTCTGTTTTTTGATGCACAGTGTCTTCCAGTGTGACCCGGGCTTTGAATGATGGTTTCAGCAGAGCCCTTGTACTCACCTCTTTTCAGATCTCTTTGAATCTTTGTCTGTTCGTGTTGCTAGAACACTTAGTTCCTATTTTGTGTAGTGCCCTGGAGTATCAGCTGCCCTGCGGCACACTTCAGTTGAATTTGGACCTGTTTGTAAGGGTTGCTTTTGAGGTGAGTCTTTGAGGGCCTTTCTTAAGAGCTTGTTTTACCTGCTCCTCCTGCTCTCCCTCGGGAACTCTCAGCCATGTTACTTCTATTTATTTTCTTCAGGACGATGTCAGCCTCTCACAAAGTGTCTGCCGTCAAACTCTTAATTCCTCATTAGAAGACTCAAAGGATTGAACCTCCCCACATAAAGGTTCAAGTAAAATCAGCTCATGTGGGGAGAATTGCCTCTTTATGCCACTGCCTATTCTTCTCTGTGCCACAGCTCCAGAACTTGGGATAGTGACAGTGACTACTTCTCCAAAAGTGACATCCTGACTTTATAATCAGTGCACTGGGTGTGAACACTCGTCTTTGGTTCTCTCAATGGGTTGTTCCTGGTGAGCAGTCTTCACCACACTGAGATACTAAAGGTTGTTGGTGTTGTCATTTGTTGTTGCTGTTATGTTGCCATCAAGGCGGAGCCTCTAATCAGCCACTGAGAGCTGTCATGGGTACAAGGGACTCTGGGCCGCTAAGCTGTGTGCTCTTGAGTTCACTCTCAGAAATGCTGACAGGATGTTCTTCCCTGAGGGGCAGTAGGGATGCCATGTCTTTCAACTGGAATCTGAGCAGAAGGAGCCTGACACTGTTGGTTACACTTTCCTAGGATGCGTCATTGTGAGGTGGAGCTGGGTGGGGGAAGACAGTGGTGGCTGGTATTAAGACTCCATGCATAAAAATGTTCTTTCTGAAATGTGAAGTGTCTTTAATTGATGTGCTGTCTCCTCCTTCTCCTTCTCCTTCTCCTCCTCCTCCTTCTCCTCCTCCACTTCCTCCTCCTTCTCCTTCTTCCGTCTCCTCCTCCTACATAAAGAGAATTCCCAGAGAAGTTAAGGTTTATGCTTATCAACTGTTTTGAAGGAGTTGGTCTACATAGGTCCTGAAGTGATCTCCTAGTATTTACTTTTTACAATATACAAAGAGCTCACATCGATTCCTTTTTAATTGGTGGGAGTTATAGTAATTATTTTAAAAATTACATTTATTATATTTGTGTGAAATGAGTATACCCCTGTGCATGTATAGAATCAGAGTACAGTATGGAGCTGTTTTTTATCCATCATTGGGTCCTTGAGATTGAACTCAGGTTGTCAGAGTGCCTAATCAACATAAATGCTTTAATGAGTTATTCAGATGTCATTTAATACTTGTTTTTTATATGATAAATACTAGTTCCTACATTAGACATGGAAAGATTTTCATCTGTAGGTAAATGTGAATTAAAATTCTACAATAAAATCGAATCATACCTCAGTCCCCTCTGCATTATTTTGTTTATTCATCCAAAATATGGACATCATGGTAGAGGTTTGTAATTTAAATTATATAGTCCATGCAAACACATTTTTAGACTCTAAAACCTTAAGGTGGATGCTATTATTACCACTTTATATCAAATGCAGCATGAAATGTATCTTTTTCTGCTCTCATCTTTATAAACTAACTACAAAATTCATCTCAGGCAATATTTATACTTTCCACCATTTGAAGTACTTTGTATTATCCTGTGATGAATATTCTTACAAATCAGTTATCGTCCAGAAAATAATCACTTTAGATAAACATTGAGTAGTGCATGGGGGAAGGGCATTGTTAGCATGTATTCAGTAGGACACGAAATTGTTCATTCATTTGTCTTGGTGTTATGGAGAGTTTTATGGAATTCCAATAAGGATTCATTTTAAAATGTGGAAAAGATGAAATTGGTAGGTTAATTTTAAAATCCCAGCTTGTGAAAGTATCCAGGGTTGTCAGGTGCAATAGGACCTTGGTTCTTAGGACCCCCTATCAGAATCTTTTCCAGCCGAAGCATGCATGGAGGGGAATTCTTACTGTACATGACCTTCGAGGTTCATCTTAACGCCACAGTATTTTGGGAGTGCGCGATCTAAAGTTTAGGTAACACGTTACGTCATACATTCATTTGTTTCTTACTGCACTCTTCTCATCTAAGTAAAAGAGATAAGTAGTTCACTGAGAGTTAAATAACCAGAACATGAGCACGTTCATGTGCGCGCACACACATACACACACACACACACACACACATACACACACACACACACACAAAATTATCAGCTTTGAATAAGTCCTTTTGCAGACATAAACATGTGCTGACTCCTTGGCGTTGCATATCAGACACTCAAACAGTAAAAAGGAAATTCCTAATTTTCCAACTTCCGATGCTCTTGGTTTATGAGGGAAGAGAGCATCCATAGTCAGCAGTGACTGCTCAGGCTTGTCTGTCTCAGTAGCGATAATGGAGGGCCCTAGAACGAAAAGGCAGATCACTCCTGGGAAGTTTTTCTGGAGAAGAACATGTTCTCTTGTAAATGATTGCAGTGAAGGGTGTTACTATGATTTCCAGTTCAGTCTTGGTTGAGAACTCTTTATTAATATCTGAATCAAAACCTTTAATTAAACAATATCAATTTGGCATTCCTTACTAACTCAAAATAAATCACATCTTATTTCAGGAAGTACTGAAAACTTCCGTGCCTTTTCTGTCCCTTTTATGATTCATATTTTTTAATGTATGTGTGTGTTGTACATGATTATGTGCATATGTATGTTCATATGCTGGTTATACATTGTGCATACAGATATGTGCGCATGTGTGTGTACATACATGTGTGGCACCCCAAAGCTGGTGCCAGATGTCTTACAGAAATCATTCTCAGCTTTATAGAAGAATAGGTCTTAGAGTTACAGGCAGCCACCACCCCCGCCTGGCTCTCTACCTGAATCCTGGCAAGCTGAATGTGGCTTCTTATGCTTGCACAGCAAGTGCTCTATTCATTGGCCATCTCCATGGCCCTTTTTTCTAAATCTTTTTTTTTTTCTTCCCTGCAATTACATACTGCTTGTCATCATGCTGACTGGGATCAACTGTAGCATTTGTCATTGGACATTTTCCTCTCTGATGAAAATAGAGCTTTTTGCTTATTGTTGGTCACATTGGTTTATTATTGTGACTTCATTTATTTTTGAGGTTATACTAAGATAACATCATTCCCCCACCCTCTCACCCCCCAAAAAAGCCCTCCTGTGTATCCTTATTAACTCTTCCAAATTCGTGGCTTTTTTTTATTATTTTACATGCATGTATTGTTATGCATACGTATCTATTCTTAAATATAGTCTACTCAGTCTCTATAATGCTACTTGTTTGTATGTTCTCATGGTTGACCCTTTGGCATTGAATAATCAATCAGTATACTCTTCACTGGGGAAGATTATTTCTCCCAATATCAGCACTCTTTAATTGCTTGTGGTTCTTTGTGTAGGGTGGGAACCTCATGGTTTTTCCCTTGTCCATTTGGCATGTCTATTGTTGTTGTATTTGTTCAGCTCATGCTTAGGCACTCGTGTTGGTGAGACTGTGTAGGTGTAGCTTTTGTCATTACTAGCAGACACAATCTTACAGCAAACACCTGATCCACTGTCTTTTTTCTTCTTTCCACCCCATCTTCCACAATGTTCCCTGAGCCTGAAGTATAGGAGTCATTTTGTAGATGTATCCATTGGGCTGTATTGTTTTTGAGAATTATTACAAGGGATATTAGATGTTACTGCATTCATATTTTATCCAACATATAATCGATTTACAGCAATGGTGTTTTATGTTCCTATTAGCTTGGTTTTGCTCATTACAACTTTGGTTCTTTTTAACCTTTCCACATGCATTCTTGCATTGTAGTATTTGTATGAAGGTCCTGTGTTAAGTCTAAGATTTTTTTTTAGTTTTCTTTAACATTGTAATATGTACTTCAGATCATTTTCTAATTTGTTTAAGTTACATCTAATATTTCTCTCTCCCTTATGTATCATGAAAGTTTTTATTCTTAGCAAAGTCTCTCCTTTGGGAAATGGACTGATCAAAATAAAATTTTGATTTCTATTAATGCCAACATAGTTACTTATGTATGTTTGTATATTTTTAATCCCCTTTTCAGAGTATCCTGGCTTTAAATCCTCGAATACAAGCTCATGCAACTCTGCGCTCCACCATGGCTAAGAAACTAGACAAGAAACACTGGAAAAGAAACCCTGATAAGAACTGCTTTGTAAGTATCACTGACACATGATTTGCTGTTGAAATTTACCCCCACAAACTGAAGACAATATAATTTGTATCCTTAGAAATGTAATTAAATATGTACAAGAACTGTTGTGCTTTTACAAGACTTTAAACATTTTATATGTGACAACAATCTCAAAACACCATTTAATAGGAGGGAGAAAACAGGGAACAGAACAGGAGCTTACTAAAGAGGGCCTCTGAAAGACTTTATCCAGTAGTGTATCAAAGCAGATGCTGAGACTCATAGCCAAACTTTGGGCAGAGTGCAGGGAATCTTATGAAAGAAGGGGGAGATGAAAGACCTGGAGGAGACAGGAAGTCCACAAGGATGGCAACAGAACCAAAATATCTGGGCCCAGGGGTCTTTTCTGAGACTGACACTCCAACCAAGGACCATGCATGGAGATAACTTAGAACCTCTGCACATATGTAGCCCATGGCAGTTCAGTGTCCAAGTGGGTTCCCAAGTAAGGGAAACAGGAACTGTCTCTGACATGAACTCAGTGGCTGGGTCTTTGATCTTCTCTCCCCAAAGGGGAAGAAGCTTTGCAGGCCACAGAGGAGGACAATGTAACCAGTCCTGATGAGACCTAACAGGCTAGGGACAAATAGAAGGGGAGGAAGACCTTCCCTATCAGTGGACTTGGAGATGGGCATGGGAGGAGATGAGGGAGGGAGTGTTAGAGGGGGAGGGAATGAAGGAGGGGGCTACAGCTGGGATACAAAATGAATAAATTGTAATAAATAAAACAAATAAATTAACTAAAAATGAATAAATATAAGATCTTTTGTCATGGAAAAATATTTTGATGCTTTTCAAATCTTCTGTAAAATTTAAAATCGTTTAAGTTTGGTACCGGTATTTCTTTTTGCAAATTGTTATAAATTTCGCTTAGAATTTTTTTGTGGTAGCACAGTGAAAGACTTTCCATATCACAAGGTCTGGTGTCACTGAGGAAGATGGGGCAAATGGCTGCCTATGAGCTGAAATGAGTTCTTGAGGGTGGGAGAGCAGACGAGTAGTCAGTGTTCACTATGAACAACTGGCACTCTCAGGTGAGATACAGAAGCAGTGGCTCCTCTGGAATTCTGTATGGCTGATTTTTAAATTTGTTGTTGTTTGTTTGTTTTCAAGACAGTGTTTCTCTGTGTAAAAGCCCTGGATGTCCTGAGCTTCCTGTGTAGACCATGCTTGCTTGGAACTCACAGAGATCCACCTGCTTCTGCCTCCCGAGTGCTGGGATTAAAGGTGTTCACTACCATTCCCAGTCTTTATGCCTGATTTTTAACTCTTTTAAATTTGTTTTAATTTGCCCGTGAGACCAGGACTCACTGTGTCACTCACACTGGCTTCATACTCACATGATTCTATCTGTCCTCACCTTTTGAGTTCTGAGATTGCATCTTTAAGCCACAGTGCCTAGCTTAGAAGCTTTCTTATCTGTGTCTATATCATGGTCACAGGCTGTGAGGTCATGAATGGATATTAGATACGACCTCCAAGGCAGTGTTGAGAATGTTGACTGCAAATATTTAAAATTGAAAAGAAATTCCTTTTTATCGGAATTCCCCAAAGGGATTTTTCTATAACAGTTAATGAGACTGTAGCATGAGTTTGTTTGGTGTTTGTTCTCTGAGTATTTTTTGCATACTGCTGCTTAAGATATATGACTTCATTTCATCTATTGTCTCCCTCCTTTCCTTAAGAGGATGAGACTTGAGGACAAGCACTTTGGCTATACTTATGTAACTGTTACCCCCCCCTTTTTTTTTTTCTCTGTCATGGGCTACCCTGCAAATGGTTTTGAAAAAAAAGCAACAAGAAGACAGACACACTATGACATGAAAAGATTTTGCAGTGCTGTATTCAGCATTCTGTTTTTCTTGGTCCATTCCTGTGGGCTCTGCTTTCTACCATGATATTGCCAATACAAGTCTTTGGAAGGATACCAGGGCTGCTCACACCTGATCATCATGGGTCACATGATGACAGGTTGTGACCTTGTATAGCGATGGCAACAACTGAAGAGAGCAAAAACGGAATACTACAGTTTTCAAGCCTATCTGTTAAAGGCTATCAAAGATAAGTGTCTCATTTCAAAGACGTGGGAGCTATGACGTCAGATGCCTTCCCCGAGGCCTTTCATTCATAAATTATCTAACACACTTTGGTCCAGGTTCTATTTAGAGACAGAAGTTTTCCTCTTATTTTGATTGTTATTATCACTACTACATTAGGATAATGATCATTTCATTCCAGATGTGATCTTATACCTAGAGTTTCTCGTTACATTTCTTCCAAAATATATAACTGGCAAAGGGGGTACTGAGCTAAGTTTTCTCATGCGAAGTATTTGTTGTTTTGAATTTGTAGAAGAGCAATCTCACAATATTTGAAAATATACATTAATAGTTTTGTCATGTGATAGGGTTGTTATTACAAAGCATCACAGATAGGGTGCTTAAGCCGTTTAGTTTTCACCATCAGCAAGACTAGTCTGAGACCAAGGTGTTGCCAGGGCTAGTTGCTGCTGAGAACTTTCTGTTTGTCTAATCAATGGCATTTGCTTCCTGTCTTTTTCACATGGTCTTACTGTCCTCATGGCTTGTTTTAAACTGCTTATCTCTTTAAATACTATCTCTAAATAGCTACATTTTGAGATACTAACAATTAATATTATGACACATGAAATTTACAGAGATACAATTTAACCTATAAAAATAACTTTAAAACATCAAGTGCATTCAGTCATTCATCTTATAGTAGTATGTCTGATGAAAAGAATTATGAATTAGGTAAACGTTAATTATGTAGAAAGAATATTATTCTAGGCATTATTTATTCAGTAGAGAAAAATGTAGAAGAAAAAAATCCTTCGAATTCCAACTACTGAGTCATGTTTAACTAAATTTAGGCAAATATATTCAGTGTTAAATTGTATGACCATTACAAATTATCTTTAAATAGTTAATACTTTGGGTTAAATAGTCACAATGTAAGTTACATGCAAAGTACATAAAATTTCACTGTATCTAATTGTAGTTGTGTGTACTTACAACTATACCTTCGTGAATATCCACAAAGAATAAAAATTTCCATACGATTATGAATGGTGGTTATCTTTGTGTTCTTCATATTTTTCTGTACTTTGGGTTTTCTGTGGTGAGCAAGTATAAATGGGAGAATAAATTAAAAGCTTCCAGTATATGTAACCATAATAATCTCATTGTATAAGATCGGATTATGGCTGAGGATTCAGATCACTCTGCAAACTCCAGTCACACTCAGATATTAAGAGAGAGAGAGCACTGATCTTCATTCATTGGAGAAATGGGGATGGTTGGAGCTAGGGCTCAAGCTTATTCTCAAATCACCAATGGAATAAAATTCCCCTTCTATGCCTAAATATCCTCTTTGTGCTAATATAAATAATTTAAGTAAACTGTTATCAAATGATGTTTTGATTTTTACTTTCTATTTTTTTCCATAAACATAATAACACTAATAGAACTCTGCTTTCTCTCAACAGAAGAACCAATAAGACAGACAGAGTCCAAAAAGGCATGTACCTACTCTAGTCAAAGTAGAAAATGGAAGAAAACAGGAATCCCTTTACAAGGCATGACAATGTGGCAGGTGGATAACCTTGTCCTCTACCCTGTCCTGGGATAATGAGATACCTCTGTGTTTTTACTGAGGTGGTATACAGAGGCCAAGTAGGGATGCTGGAACTTTCTTGGCAGATGAGGCTCTTCTTGAACTCACAGAGATCTGACTGTTTCAGTCTCCAAAGTTCTGGTATTAGATCTGTGCACCAGCACACCCAACAGAGATGTATTCTTAAAGTTGGCTCTACCCCTTGCCTGCAGGAAGGACATTGCAGAGCCTTCAGACTGAGACTAGGTATTGTCAAGGATGCCTCTTAGTTCTGCCTTTTTCTCCTTAATCCCTCCCTCTGTGGTTTTCCTGAAGAGGATCCATTTAGTAACTTCATAATAATCCAATCCCTGTGCAGTTCTGCTTCTATGAAAATTATGTTTTCATAGAATTATGAAGATAGCCTATGAAACAAAATTATGAAATAGCAAATTCAAATGCTGAAATTGCTATTTCAGGGCCTCGCCCACAGTAGCTTGAAATCCCAGATAAAGTTTTAGGAGACATAATGCTTTAGGAATCATTCATGCTTCTGGCGCTGTATCAAATGCTACTTAGAGACCAGTAAGATCAACAAAAGTCATTTTGTATCAAATGCTACTTAGAGACCAGTAAGATCTATCAAAGTCATATTCCATTTTTACTTTAAAGGCAGACTCTAATTTTGTTTGAGTAAGTAGATGATTTAGTAAGAGATGATTCTAAGAGAACAGGCATTGTTTTGTCCCAAGAATGACAATTCTGAAATTTTTGCCCAGGAATTTCATTATTTGGCAGCTTGCTAGCATTCTATGACTAATTGGAAATTCTGAATTACATAGGGAATTTAGGCTGGCAAATGTGTTTGGACTGGGTAATGAAGCACAGTGTAGCTATTCCCAGTATCTTTTAAACAGGTGTTCCATAACCGCTGTTTATTTTTGACATTTAGAAAATGTTGAACTGTCCTAATTACATAAATATTTTGTAGTCATTTTCCATGTGTGATTTTTGAAGACCAGAAAATATTATGAATCAGAAAATTTTTCCCAGGTGAAAAATAAAAGGAAACATGTTTAAGCACAGAGAGTCATTTGTTTTCAGAATCTTAGAGAATTTATTCTGAAATCGTAACACATAGTTGATGCTCATGGCTTAAAATGATGACGAAGATGTAATGCCTGCTTAAAATTTGGTATTTCAGCTCCTGTGTCTAAATTTTTATGTTTTAACCTTCTGAATCGCTTTGTGGTATCCATTATATTTTATCTCTACCCCTAGATGAAAGGGCATGCACAGGGAGGCCCAAGAAGCCTGGCTAATGTAGAACTAGACATTGAACTCTTGTAATCTGGCACGAGTTCATGAAGAGATCAAAATCAACCACCAACCTAAAAATCAACCACTGACCTTTCCTTATAGACAATTATTTTTCTATTTATTATCCATTAGAATAGGTTAGGCATTATGTAATTTAGCAACTGAAATAAATATGAATACTCACCAAAGATCTCATGTTATGCTGAAGAATACAGACATCAATAGTTATGGTATTGTTTCAAGGAAAGAGCAATATATGGATTTTAATTACCAATCAAATTTGCCTTCAGCTGACTGATTCTGGGACATAGGGCAGGAAATAGATTTAATGATGAATATAGGAGGCAAGATCTTTGGGGCTGTTGTAGAAAGTTAGAGAATAAATAATAAAGCATGGAGTGAGGATTTTTCTGGAAGAGTGGAATTGTGACGATTTTAGAAATTAGGAAACATGACATGGTAGGAGGGGATAGAGAAGTTGGTAAAATGCTTGATATGCCAACACAAGCACCAGACTTTCATCTGCAAAACCTGCTTATATAAGCCAGGCGTGATGGAGTGTGCTTACAGTCCCAGAGCTGGGGAGGAAGAGACAGACATTCCTTGGGCTCAATGGCCAACTAGTCCAGCTTTATTGGCAGATTCCAGACCATTGAGAGACACGGTCTCAAAAGGAAGAAGGTGGAAAGCCCTGAAAAGCTGAAGCCCGACTTTTCCCTTGATTGCTACATGCATGTGTATACATTGGTGTGCATACAAACCCCAAACTACACATATGCACAAAATATATGACTTGGGAGTTTAATCTGTTTCTGCATTAATTGTTTGAGGGCTAAATTGAGTTGAAATAATGAATTTAGCATGTGGCTTTTGAAGTCAAGGGATGGAAATGAAGACTTTTAAAACGTCGGGAGTATAGGCGTTAGAAACTCATGGGCAGAGTTATCCAGGAACAGTCTGTAGAGTGGGAAGAGCCACAAGGGTAGATTTTGAGATTGGGGCTGGATTTAGAAAGACACAACTGACTTCAGATAGACAATGCAAAGGGCTACCCAAAGACCCAGCAATCAAGCTAAATTATCATAGAAATAAATGAAAAAAAAATTCAAAAAGTAGGGACATACCTTTTTCCCTTTGCTTTAGCTCTTACAGGGCTTTAGAATTTAGGGCCTGATTACGAAACTGCCTGCCACATATGAGGGCAGCACGAAGTGAGAAATCGGCTAAAAGCAACTGCATGAGGTGGTGAGACTCACCAGAGCAGAGGCAGAGAGTTCCTACAAAGGGAGATGAGTGTCACTTGTGTTCCCCTTAATGTGTGGTTTCATTTGTTCCCGGCGAGGTTCATTTGTGATCTTTTAGAATTGTGCTTAAGGTTTGTCTTGTCTTCTGGGCCTGCTCATTCCCTCCTTCTCGGGTCACTGTTCAATGACACCCACTTTGGTTATTAAAGTTCCAAGAGATTCATTCACTCTTACTTAGCTAGCTAGCAAGGCGGCTGTGTTAGACTGTGTTAGTATAGATTGTAAGTCCCAGTCCTCGCCTACCAATCCCAGCCCAGATGTTTAAAAGTAGACTTTACAACCTCCTGAGCTTTGTGCCACACCGGTGCTCTTGTTTCTGCACGTTACAGAGTTGGAGTTACAGGGATCTGAACTTGGGTCTTCTTTCTTGAGCAGCAAGCACTCTTGCTATCTGAGCCATCCATCTCCCTATCACTTCCCACCCACTCAACAATTTCTTATGGATCTTTCTTACCTTTCCCTCCCCCAAGTCTACTCTCTGTCACCCACTTTTTCACTACTCTGAAGTCCATGAGTGTGGCTGTTACTGTGGTGTTAGCTGACCACTGGAGCTCAGGACATACCATATCGCAGGTCCCATTCTCAAGGCTTCTGCAGTTCCCAAGTCTCAGAGTCTCTGTCTTCTGACTGCCACAGAGCTGGTGTTGGCCAGCCATCTGCAAAGAAATCGGAGAGCTTTCCTGCAACCCTCCTCCCCTAGATTTACTTGTCTTTTGTTCCTCTCCTGTCTCTCTGCCATTAAAATATTAATGTAATCTGTACTGAAAGGTTAAAAGTTGAGAGAAATTTAGTTTTTCACTACCTCACATTTCCTCTTCAAGATACCGTGAATCATCTAGGTTCATGTCTCTCTCTCTGAAACGTTGATTTTCATGTTTCTAACTGTGGCTGAAAGACAAATTCTCAGAGTTTTGCCATTATATTATTCTATTGGAGAAAAAGTTTTGAATAGTATCCTATCAGGATTACTTTTTGTTTTGTTTTCAGAGGAGTTTCACTGCTAAATCACTGGCTGGTCTAGAACTGAGTCTGAGTCTGTAGACCAGGCTGGCCTTAAAGTCATAGAGATCCATTTGCCTCTGCCTCCTGAGTGCTGGGATGTGCATGCCTGGCTCAGATAACTTTTTCTATTATTAAAATATTATTTTATTAATTGATGATGTGTATCTGTATGGTCTATGTCTGGGTATGTTCACGTGTTAATGCAGGTGCCCAAAGAGTCTAGAAGGGCCCAGGGAGCAAGGGATCTGCCTTATCTGATGCTAGGAATGAAATTTAGGTCTTCTGTAAGAGCAATAAATGCTCTTAACTGCTGAGTTATCTCTCTAACCCCTGAGAGCAGTTCTATTTTTTTTTCCTTTTTATTGATTAGATAGGACCTTATATGAGTCTGGGCCTAGTAGTAAATCATATGAGCAAACATTATTGAAATGTTCATGATATGTAAATACTTACATTTTTCCTTCCTTATGAATGCATAACATATTTATTGTGCACAAGGCATTTTTTAAAGTATCTGATAAAAATGCCTCATTTGGATGCTGTCTCATTATTCAGTTTCTTATGTATTATTTCCATGTCTGTGCCCCAAAGCAAGTATATTTCATTTATGTTTCTCATGTTCCAAGACTTATAGACTGTGTGGGAAACAGGATTCAGTCGTATGATATATGCTGCATTCTGTAACGGTTTCAGGGGATAATGGCGACTGATAAGAAGAAAAGAAGAGCGTGGGGTGGAAGTAAGCCATGAGTGAAATTATTTACAATAACTCAACTTCAGCCGTTGACCAACAGCTGTGGACCTACTGCCGCAACCTGCACTTATTCTGCATCTGTCCTTCCTTTCTTCATTTCTTTGCGGCGCAATTGGCAGCTGATATACCATGTCTCATAATTAACGTTTCGTCTCCTAATTAGAATGTCAGGTCTATGAGGACCCGTTTTGTTCACAGCTGAATCCTCTGCACCAGATTCCTGTTAGGTGTGTGGCTAACTGCTTAGTAACTGGTGACTAACTAGAGTATTTACTGAATTCTTGGCATGGGCCAGAGTCTGTTCTTGGTACTAAGATTACAAATGTATTCTTATAGCACTCGCCTGCGATGGAGTAGAGCTATTATTGTTTTGTCGTATGGGTGAACAACTGTTAGGAGTGAGTAGTCTCATCTTGTTAGAGGGACATGGATCCTGGAGGATCTGAAAGGATTACTAAGTGACCGGTAGCACCTAAGCCAGTGGTTCTCAACCTGTTGGTCACAATCCCTTTGGGGAGTTGGATGAACCTTTCACAGGGATTGCCTAAAACCATCTGCATATCATATATTTATATTATGAGTCACAACAGCAGCAAAATTAGAGTTATGGAGTAGAAATGGAAATAAATTTATGGCTGGGGTCACCAGAACATGAGGAACGGTATTAAAGGGCCACAGCTTTAAGAAGGCTGGCAGCCACTGAGGTAAGCTAGAATTGTTGACTTCACGAATCTTCTCTTTATCTATTGAAACTTATGCTGGTTTCCTTTTGAAAACATGTTTTACACAATATTCTTCTACTAGAATTCATATAGACCTCTTTAAGATTAAAGACTGAAGCTATGGTTTGTTTCCCAATGGCCTGCATGTGAAGTGCGAACTCTGTGGAGCATCTCATGAGTATTTTGGTGCATTAGTTGAGCTGCTGGGAAGAAGTGACTTTACACAGCAGTGAAACATCATAAAGAATTTACATATTGTTTCACACTTTTAATATGTCTCTCCAAACAAGTTCATCCATACTTGTTCGGGCACACTCTATAAACATCAATTTAAGTCTCACTTGTACAGACTTATCAATTACCAAATATTAACTGAAGATCTCATAAGCAACAGCCACTGCAGATGACAGTGGGGTCAAAAGCCTTGGTTGACCTGACAGTACACACACAGCCATCCAATAATAAAATTTGTATCTCACAGCATAGCTCTGTTTATCACCCTGCCAATGGAGTGGAAATGCTTGGCTTCAAGATTCAAGATTGGCCTCCCTAAGAAAGCAGCTCTTAAGCTGAAATTAAAGAGGAAAGTTGAAAGAAGAAAGGCTACACAGTGGGATCCTGTCAGAGTGGAAAATGTGTATGGAGAAGACCTCTGAGGAAGCTGACTGAGCCGAAGGTCAAGAAGCAGCTTGAGTTCTGCAAAGAGTGGGATACAGAGTTGAGGAAGAGCAGCAGCGAAGAGTGGTAATGATGATCACCGCTAATTACACTTATTGACAAGGTCAATAATCTGCTTATTTCATTAAAAGAAGTGCTTGCTCTCTCATTAAGGAGGAGGACTCCTTGTTTGATATACGCTGTAGTTTAGTGTTGGTCAAATGTTATGTTCTCACTTTGAAAGTGGGTTTTCTTGGTGCTTCATTCCACATAGAGTGTAGGGCTGGAGATTTATTCTTCAAGCAGACATGTGTAATACTAAAGTAGCTGCCCAGAAATAAAGAAAAGTGTTAACTCTTGATATCCCGAGGCTGTTTCAGAAAGGCTATGTTCAATTATTTATTTCAGGCCAATCACAACTTTCTCTACATCCAAGTGGCACAGAAATTAAACTCGTTTGTAATTGTCTGGCATCAGCCCTGCTACTTTTATTGTGTTCTTCTCTGGTTTGAAAATTCTATAGTAGTTAAGCAAGTCTTTCTCTTCCTTTATTGTTAATCAGATTTGAGTTTATGTACCTGGTCCTGGTTTAGATGAGGGTGAAGAAAACCCTCCAGAGGTGGATTTCAATAACCTTTATTTACAAAAGGAAAAAAAAAAAACACATTCTAACTAAATGCTTTCTCATTGAGGTTGGAATTTTAGGACAGCAGTCCAGAGAGTCAGTTTCAAGTTTGGTTAAAAGTTTGACATCTGGAGACCAGCATTTGGACTCCCTTAATGCTTTTGTCATTTACTAGCTGCATGATTTCACTAAAACAAATTTCTTCCTATACTTCCATTTTTTTCGTCCATAAATCATGCACTAGGTAAAATAAGAGGATGCATTTATTGATCTAAAATTGTGCCTGTCACACACATTACCCTCTGTGAGTGTTGTTGCTGATGGAAATTTGCATTTGTGATTGAAGCACTAGGTTGATTTCTAATGCTGTGAAAGTGGAGCCACGGCTCCATCCTTTATGTCAGGTGACATGGAAAAGAAGAATAAAGGGAAGAACATGGGAGTTTGGCCAACAGAATGAACTAACGATAGTGAGTAAATACAGACTATTTCTTCTGCGAAGAAAAATCTTTCTAAAGAAAGCATGCCTAACATTGAACCTTCTGCAAAGCTGATTAACTAATAGACTTTCAGTGGCCGTGAACAATTCGGAGTACTGCCAGTGCAGAGCTTAATTAACAACTTATCTTGGGTTCTCTCTAGTCCCCTCAACAGCCATCCATTGTGGACTTCTGTGTCTGACTTAGCGCTCTTGTTACTGTCAGGTGAGACCTTTTGGGATGCAGTAATATAACAGACCCCAGGCTCCACCACTAAGAAAACCTCAGATAGCATCTGCATTCTACAGAAGTTCCCACGCTTTGTCTGTGTTCCTGTACCAACAAAGCATTTGTAAAGTGCCATAAATTGTAATTTCTTTCTGTTATTATACATACTTTATCAAACTGTTCCCAGATTGGGACATGGGGTTTAAGCTGACCTGAATCTGTGTTTCTGTGCGTAGTCACTCATATTTGGCTCCTGAATAAACTATCTTTTATCCCCTTTGAGATGAGAATTGTTTTTGTACCAATAACTTTGTTTTCCAGAAAATTTCTTGGCAGCAAATTGGCACTGCACACAACAGATATACAGCACACACACACACACACACACACACACACACACACTAGAGAGAGAGAGAGATTTGTTTTGAGTTTCACCTTATATGCATGAAGTTGCAATACATTATATCCTTGTGAAGTTGTGGGTTTTTTTTTTTTTTTTTACATTTCTTCTAAAAAAGAAAATATGCATGCGATGCTCTGGCTCAGTTGTCAGCACAGGCTAGACATCTGGATGTGGGAAAAGGGGATTCCACTCTGTCTTCATTCAGCTAAGTCTGTCTGGGATCTCCCAAAGAGCTACCCGGTGTGTGTGTGTGTGTGTGAAATGTGAGCCCCCTCAAACCCTCAGAGTCTGACACAGAGATTTCTCTTAGGAGAAGTTGTTCATAATCTACATAATGTTCTAAAAATACTGAGATGGGATCCAGAAGATCTGGAACCAAATTGCTTTGATTTGTTTACACAGAAATCCTTTGCATAATCATAAATATTAAACTGGAATTGCATGATGTATTGTAGGTCAATAAGTGCTATATAATAAAGCAGATGTGTGTTAAGACTATGGCTGCAAAAACAGAATATGTATATTTTAGAAGATATTAATGAAGCATATTACTGTATTTGCAAATAAGAAATATCTTTGCATATGGGAAAATAGAGTGCTCTGAACAAAAGAAATCAGCTAAATTGTCTTTAGAGCCTAATGGTATATTTTACCTTTGCAAAACACTTATTTGGTGCTCATAGAAAGTAAATATGCGAGTTTTGCTGTTTTCCAGAATGGGCATACAATGGCAGCTGTCTTTCTAATCGCTCATCTATTCAAACGCTAATCGGTGGGACCCACATAGAGCGCTAGGAGCCTGAATAGGTAGACAATGACAGCAGCGTTTTAATCACAGTCCTATTCAGGCACTAATCGGAGTGATGATTAAGGGACATTAGAAGGAGCACTTTGACATCTGATCCTTTGAACTGGCGTCTGTGCAGCCTGCACTACACCCAGCTTATTTGGCCAGACCGATTTCCTTAAATAAAGTGCCGTGATTTCCAACGTAGGAAATATTACATTAGAGCCTATTGAAATGATTAGAAATTGAGGAGCTTTTATTTTACTGGGGATGCAGCGCGTGCTGTGTACTCACAAAACCGAGATCATTAATATTGCATGCAGTCCTCTCAGCAGTGAGGACCACAGAGAAAGAGCTTGAAAAGAGCTCACTACCGTCATGCGCCTTCAGTTGAATGGGAGCTGACATGTGCAGCTCTTCTTTATGGAAGTCTGTGAATTGTGAAAGACTTGGATTTTCATACGCCCTAATCCAGGTGGGCACATCCTAACTGCATTCCATACTTGTTTCCTTTAAGTGGAGATACGTTGTTAGTGTTACCCATCTTGAGTTACTAAAAGTTAATTAAATGGGGAGAGACTCCTGAGGCCCCACCCTTATCTGTAGTTGATGACTGTTGGGAGAGAGTCAATATCTTTTTCAGGTGTGTGGACCCCGGTAGATTGCCTAGATTCCAATGGATGACTCTCCACCCATGTGCGTGTTAGCATCACTAACAGGACTCGGTGGGGTAATTGAAAATCACTGGAAGCATGAACGTGGAAGAGTGGGGAGTGTGGGAAGTTGGAGAGGAGAAGGGGATGAATATGATCAACTTGGATTCTTTATATGCATGAAATTCTTCAAGAGTAACTAAAAGAGTATTTTTTAAAAGTTCATTGCTGGTCTGGAGAGAAGGTTGGCTCCTTCAGTGCATGGCTGGCCCTTGCAGAGGACCTGATTTGGTTCCCAGCACTGACATCAGGCCATTAGGCAGCTCACAGCTTCCCATGACTTCTGCTACCTACTTCTGGCTTCCCCAGGCACCCACACTCACACATTCTCACATAGGCACATAGGCATACATATGAGTAGAAATAAAAATAAATCCCTAAAATCTTGATTGTTCATGGCCGTGCTGTAATCAGTTTTAGCTATTCATAATGGGATATTTGCCTTTTCTCTCAACATTTCTAACATTTACTTCAATGTTACTAGCCTGTTTTCCAGAATACTACTTGTGATTGTTACCAAAAGTTCCATGGCTACTAAGTATTTGCATATTAGATCCATGGCTGAAATGTCATCTTTGGTATTTGAATATCGAAGACATAGTCAGAGCTCTCA